AATCCAAAGAGTTTCTGATTTCTATTCTTCTGTGGGGGTGGGACCAGCTGAGCCTGATCACCTGGCTCCCTGCCTCAGAGCCTTTTGCTCTCCAGTTGAACGGTCAATTCTCTCCCAGGTGTTCCAGTCGCCTGTTGAAAAGGCGCAGGGGTCTATGTGATTTCCCCTGCGGCGACTGAAACAGCGGCGCTGAGATTTGTGGAGCCTTTTTTTTGTTTGTTTGTTTTTGCCTGGGAATCTCCTAGCCTGGCTCCCTGCCTCAGACCCCCCTTTAGTCAGATGAATGGGCGACTGCGCCTTCCCAGCGCTTCAATTGCCAGCCAAAAGGGCACCCAGATCAGTGTATTTTGTATGGAGAACTGCCATGCCAGGGCGCCGCAAAGCAGCTGCATGGGCCAAAACAGCCGAGGGGACTGAAACGGCCGCGTCGGCCAAAACAGTCGCACTGGCGACCCGGGGGGCTCCTCCACCTGGGAATCTCCTGGTCTGTGGGCAATAAAAATCCGTCTGGAAATTCGGCGTCCACTCACCCTCCACGCTTTCACTGGGAGCTGCAATCCTGAGCTGTTCCTAAACGGCCATCTTGGATCTGGATCCCTATTTTTATTATTTTTTAAATAGAGACAGGGTCTTGCTAAGTTGCCCAGGCTGGTCTTGATCTCCTGGTTGCAAGCAATCCTCCTGCCTCAGCCTCCCTAAGTGCTGGGATTACAGGCATGAGCCACTGCACCTGGCCCAGTCTACAAGTTTTACATTTTCCATTTTTCAGTTGTTTTCCTCATTAGAACACCAGTTCCATGAGGGCAAGAAACATGCTTGTCCTGTTCACGGTTGTGCTCCTAACACCTATCAGTGTGTAACAGGGGCAGGTGCAGATTCACCTGCCCTGCCTGAGAAGATGGCCCTTTTCCTCCAACTCTCATTTAACAGAAAATTTTCTGAAAAACAAAGGGGGATCTGTAAGAGTAATTTTTTGAATGTTAATGTTGCCTTTTTTCCTACTCTAGGAAGTGACATTTACTATTATGCTAAATATTCTTTCCTGGGGGTGTTCAAGTGTTTCACAATTTTCTTACTCCTATAAATGCAGCGTATGTAGCCCTCACCTCTCTAAGACCAAGGGCTCCAAGCTCATTAATGGATAGACTCAACTGAGTTTAACTCCCACAGGAATCCCCAGATACTGCTTTTGCCAAAGAGTCATTTCCAAGACAAGTCTTAAATGTTCAGAGACAGAAAACACACACCCTCACACACACTTAAAGCCTTGCAGTAATTAATGATACAATCCATAAGGAACCCCCTCCAACCATCCTGCAATGTGCAGCTGAAGTCACAAGACTCAAGCTGAAATAGGACTCTATCCTAGTATTTGCAGGCCTCAGGTCCCATTTGTCAGTGACAGCAGTTGGTTAATGTTTTCAGAGTTAGGATTCTGGAACGTTTTGATAAATAATAAACAAGGTATAGGAAGGGACATACTTTTATTAATATATATATGTATTGTTACTTGGTTCTTTTAGATTCTGAGATGTTAATATCATTAAAGCAGTTACTGATTCACTGAGACTGAAATTAACTGACATCCCTAGGCCTCCATCAGGGGTGGGGAGGAGGAAGACAGATGCGGGTTGGTGTTTGGATGTGGGCCAGTTTAAAATGAGCCGTCATCGCACGGAAACTGGACATGCTGATGGGTGACTGCTAAGGGCACTGGAAGTCTTTCCAGCAATGATGAGTAGGGATTCTGAAAAAAGCCATTAACTTTTTGATAGTTCTGACATTTCTGTAAGCTAAGTAATCATAATACCACCTCTGTGGGATGACTTAAAATTTACAGACATGTGATCTCACTGAGTCCATTCTCCCACTCTCTTGGAGACACTATGAGGTAAGAGAAACACCACTTTGAGATGATACTGGAGCAGCTGGGGAAACTCTACCAGGGGTGATGGATGGCCGGGGGTTGGCTGGGCCACTCGACCTCCCCCTCACTGTGGGCTTTTGTGATTAATTCACCTACTTGCTTAGGAAGTTGTTTTCCATCTGAGAAAATTAAAAACACCACTCTCTGGACAGGAATGTGGGATCATAAATGAGAAGCAAATAGAAAGGATTTACACAAAAGCACAAGGTCAGCAAAAGAGAACACTCAGAAATTGCTAATATGGTATAAATCAAATAAAGGCTATTAGCAAACCCCTGGTAAGGGGAAAAAAAAAGGCTTTTAAATGATTTGCTGAGCTCTTAACAATGCCATTTCTACCTATGGTGCTCGAATATCTCCGGGTCAATCTGGCTTGCATTCTTCAGCACTGCCACAAAGACTTTCCAACTGAAATGGATTTGTATAAAACTATACAGAGTGCCAGAAATGTAGCTTGCTATTGTGCCTTCAGATTTATATAATTTTTAGAGCTGCAGAGTCTTCCTCATCCATGTATTCCTTCCCACAAGCACAGGGGTCAAAAATATTTGTGTATTATGTGAACAAGTAAGTGGGTGAATAGACAGATGGAAAGAAGGAGAGAAAGGAAAAAGGAAGGGTGGAAGGGTGGATGGATAGATGGTTGGATGGATGGTTGGATGGATGGATGGATGGTTGGAGGGATGGATTGATAGATGGATGGTTGGATGGATGGATGGATGGTTGTATGGATGGATGGATAGATGGATGGATGGTTGGATGGTTGGATGGATGGATGAAGACCGACTCACTCATCTTACCAATGAGGAATGTAAGAGCCATGGGGTTACTAATCTGCCTATATTATTCTTAAAAATGGTGTTTGAATTGGGACAACCAGATCTCTTCAAGTCTAGCGTTCCCGATCTAGGCTTTCCTCTCTTCCATTGGTTTATCATTAATTCTAAAACATTAACAATATTAACAATATGATCTTAGTCATAAGGAACCATTTATGGAGGCCCATAGGCTAATGTATTTGTGCTGATTTGATGATCTGGGAAATCAGACACAGAGTGCATTTTCTATGGCTATTGTATGAGTTCACCAAGAGACAGAAAACACGAAGACCACTCAGTTGCATGTCCTGCCAAATCCCTCTCTGAAAGTCACCCAGCATGTGGCCCAGCATCACTACTGGGGCTTGTGAAATGTTGGAAATAGAAGGCATCTACAGGACCTTGGCCCAACCTTATATGCTAAGAAGGAAATCCTTGCTCCAAATGTCCGGCAAACAATTATTGTGCCTCTGCTCAGACACCTTTAGTGACTAGGGACATATTACTTTTTAGGATGGCCTCCCTTGTGGAGAGGCACACTGGTTAGTTTCTTGAGTTTTGCAATATTTCATTTCCTATTGGTTGGTGTTGGTCTAAGATACTTTCACTTTGTGTACAGATCCTTGGTTTCTGTCATTACACACTCACAGAGCAACTTCCTCAACAAAGTCTTGGTGACTCCCTTGAATTATGCTTAAGAGGCTGGGTCCAGTGGTTCACGCCTGTATTCCCAGCACTCTGGGGGGCCAAGGCGGGTGGATCATGAGGTCAGGAATTCAAGACCAGCCTGATCAATATGGTGAAACCCTGTCTCTACTAAATATACGAAAATTAGCCAGGCATGGTGGTGCACACCTCTAGTCCCAGCTACTTGGGAAGCTGAGGCAGGAGAATCGCTTGAACCCTGGAGGCGGAGGTTGCAGTGAGCCAAGATCACGCCACTGCACTCCAGCCTGGGTGACAGAGCAAGATTCCATTTCAAAAAAAACCAATTATGCTTAAGAGAGAACCACAAGCAGAAAGATGCCCCTAAAGGCTCTGCTCAAATGGTGGTGATGAATATAAAGAATCAGTCACTTGCTGTAAGAAGATACCTCCCGACGGCTCACATGAAATGACAATATCCTGATGAGCTGTGTGGTTCTGCCAGTCCTTGTTTTAAGGGCAACTCATTGCCCTACAAACTGTTTCCCAGGAGGCCCAGAAAGCTATTGCTTAAAAAAGTGGAGACACATTATTTAACAATTCCTCCCTCTACTGGGTCTTTTAAACTGCATTACCGCATTAGCAGGTATCCCCTCACACCACACTTGTCCCTTGGCCAGCAAGTCTTCACAGAGACGAGTCTTTGGGCTGTTGAGAGCACTTGCCTCTTGCCCCAGTGTCTCCTTTTGGGAAACCCAGAGAGCAAGCGTGGCTGGAATGTTCCATGAAAGTGTTTATAAAGTTTCAAGGTATAATAAAGAAGAAAGCATTGTGCCCAGCACACGTTTCCCCTTACTAATGAGAATCTTCTTAAACTAGCACAAAGTTCTAGTTTGGGATAAGCCCTTTAGAGATGTAAGAACACATCTGAATCTCTGATCATTCCATGTTGCATCTGCTTCCACATCATTGGAACACTCCAAATAATGAAACTTTCTTGCTCTTTTCTGGTTGAACCAAGTCTGGAGTCTCAGGAAAGCATTAAATAAGGAAGAGCAACATAATTTACCAAAGCAGAGAAATCATTTCATTTAAGCCTCTAAGATCTGGTTAAGGTGACGTGATGTCAGAGGCAGAGACACTACAAACCTCCAAGTTACTAACACACTTCAGAAGCACCCTCGGGCCAACCCCAGGGAAATAAATACCTTCTACCCAGCACCTTCTAAAGACATGTGGCCCATCTCACCTCTGCCCAGGCTTTCAGATGACTGGTTCCTGGGACTCCCTGGCAGCTGGAGCCATAGGCTCAAATAAAAAACACTTGCCAGGACAGGAAGATAATTTGCAATGTCTAAACACAGACAGCATCCATCCCAACCACTCCTCAAGGAAAAGGTCAACCCTCACACCACGTAGCATTGCCGTCTGGCTGTCCATGGCTCTCCAGAGTAACACAAGCCACTCTTGCTACTTGGGAAGGAATTCCTTTTTGGAAACTTCCCTGGGTGCTCTGACCAGAAAACCAGGGAAACTTTGACTCATCTGGTTCCCAACACACACTTCAAGCTGTACACACTCTCAAAGCGGATGGAAGTGATGGTACTTGCCCGGTAGAAGGATTCATGATGCAGCCTCCTTTCTTAGCCGCTGTTTGACAGCTACAGCCCCTTTCCAGTGTGTCATGATTCATCCCAAAATTGTGGCCCAGCTCGTGTGCCAGGGTTACGGCTGCACCAAGGGGACTGTCTGAATGGTCCTCAAAGAAAACACAAAAGCACAGGTGTATAATTCCTATCTTCTTGTCCTTATGTCCCAGGCCTCCCTCCCCACAGACATATACCTTTCATTAACACTTGACTTAATCTAATTCCCTATAAGGGACTAAGGTAAAATGCTATCATTTAAACTTAAAAATAGATAATTTGACATTTCATTGAGCCAATTTGGGGGCCCTTTCTGCTGAGGAATGTCTGTATGCCTCACGTATACATGTGTGTTTCTTTCTGTTTTTATAGGACATCTTCAAGGCAGGGTGTCCATCCTGCTTCCTACAATTGCTCCACAACTCTTCCATTGAATGAAGCAAAAAGGCATCCTGCATCCTAGGAAAAGCTCATTCCTTCATGGGCAACAGAAGTATCATTTTACCCTTGATTGAGATGATGCTGATATGAAGTTGAAAGGCACAAGCATGCGTTGTGACATTCCAAATGAGCCCTGAGAGGCTGTCATTGAGCCTGCCTCTTCCTGTGTGCTTGGTCGGGGAGGAGAGTTGGAAAATTCACAACACTTCACAATAAATCTGACCACATCGAGTCATCTGTTTGAAGAGCCATTCATTTAAAAGCATAATCCGGTTATGTCTTATTCTTGTTGGCCCTTTGTGTTGCCAGGCACACTTTGGAAATATGAGGTGTCCCGATTCTCTGACTCTTGTGGTTGGGGGTTCATTAACCTTTTGCTTGAATGTGGAAGGCGGCTTCTCCATTCAGCAAGCACTACTTGGCTACCCCTAACTTAGTGGAGTGCCTGGATGGCTTGGCTCAAATAGATACTAGAAATTAACTAAGAATATAGTTACTTAACTTTTACAAACAGAAGTTAGTTAATTAGCGTACATGATCTACAGAAAGAGTGCCTATATACAGCATTTCTGAAAAGGTCTATATCCCATGGAGAAAGGAAAGAACCTTGCTTGAATCTTGCTTTGTGCTACTTAGGAAAGAGATAAGAGGTTTTCCTAGAGGCTTCCAAGAAACAGTGCTTCTACTGTTTGAATGCTTGTTCCCTCCAAAACGCATGCTGAAACTTAATCCCCAATATGGCAGTATTGGACATGGGGCCTCTAAGAAGTGATTAGTCAGGAGGACCCTGCCCTTATATTAACTCATTCACAGATTAATGGACTAATAGGTTAACACATTAATGGGTTATCAGGAGAGTAGGACCAGTGGCTTGATAAGAAGGAGAGAGACCTGAGCTAGCACGTGCAGCCCCTCGCCATGTGATGCCCCGCACTGCCTTGGGACTCTGCAGAGAGTCCTCACCTGCAGGAAGGCCCTCTCAGATGTGTCCCTCTACGCTGAACTTCTCAGCCTCTGTAACTGTAAGAGATAAATTCCCTTTCTTTATAAATTACCCAGTTTCAAGTATTCTGTTAGAAGCAACAGAAAATGGACTAAAACAGGTGTGGTGCTGTATTTCAGAGAGCACACTGATATGGACAGTCTGTGTGAGGCTTCTGGAGAGAAGTGTGCATGTGAAAGGCCTGTGGGTTTGTTTACAGTGTTTACAACTAGCCTTCAGTCTAAGAAAACAATGGCATGTCAAGAAACCAAGATATTATTGGAGTAGATGAAATTCCTAATGAATTACTTTGTTTAGATTTTAGAGCTTCCTGTTGTAGGAAGCTTTACAAATATGTTTCAGGAAATCGGTTCTCAAAAATAACACACCGGTGAAGAGAATGTAGTCGCTCTAAGGACATGCGGGCTGAAGTTAGCAGGCTCTGGCACAAAATTCAAGGACTTCATCCTTAAAAAATATTCTCACTCTGATTCTTTTGTATCATTGAATATCTTGGTTTTTAGTTGCCAGATTATGTTACATTCTTTCATGCATCAGTGATTATAAACAGAATGTCTCTTAAGAGACCTTAATAAACAGTTTATATTTGTAGTAAGAAAAAAAAATCTCTTTATTCATGCTATTAATATTATTTCCAAACTAAGGCTGTTTTAGGCCAGTTCAATGTAAAGGAATGACTTTAAGTTACTAAAATTAATGAATTGCTCTATTTTGAAAAATAGAGAAATGGCACTACAATCCCATTTTCAATTTTATGAGGATCCCTGCTGTCTGGCTGCATTGCTTCCTTCCTCTTAGATTTGTGAGTCCTTGAATGAAGCACAGTCACATATGACACCTGTGAATGTGGCTTTAGAGACGCAGGAGAAGAAAGTGAGTCTAGAACCTACAGTTCTGGTCAAGATGTTGATCTTGCTGATTTCATGAATTTTATAGAAATCAAAGGTGCCGAGGTACTTTTATCCTACCTGCTGTTTCTCTTATATGTGGAACGCATAAGTAATGTGTCTAAGTATGATGTTAACTGCTGTCAAATTTCTAAAACGTATTTCCTGATAATTAACTTTGATCTTCACTTGATTCTTACAGCATTGCATATAATTTGCTTCTATTTCCCACTTTCATTTTCATACATCCTTTTTAAAAATAGGCTTCCCGGTATCCTTTTAAAGAAGGAATTTTGATAAAATGCTTGTATGGAAACGGAGTAAGGGACATAACCTGAAGAAGGCCACTTACTCTAGTGAGACGGGTTATAGGCGCATTTCAGCTCCGCACAGCAGCAGAGCTTCCCATGCCTATGAAGAATTGAGTTTCAGCTCTACAAAAATATTTATGCCAACTTTAAGTGGTAAAGTCAGTAGCAACTGGCCATGGAACCATGAAACAGAAAATCATTCCGTCTTAAAAATTTACAGTTGCTCTGTAAAAATACAGTTGGGATCTGACCTGAAATGAACCTGGCATCAACAAAAACCAAATTTGCCAAGGACTGCCATGGTGGAGATCACATGCAGGGCATCCAGGTCCACAGAAAACAAGGGAGTCACTTGCTCAAGCCAGAAATCTAGTAAGTGGGGGCAATCCCTTTGACCTTAGTGCAGGCTTACATGAATTACCAATCTCTGCACCCAGAGAAGAGGGAAACATTGGTTCTGTATATTCATGAAGAAGATTTGATTAGGCAGTATGTGGAGAGAAAGTAATCGTCAGCAGAACATAACTCCTTCCACCCTGTAATACAACTGAACATGCACACACGCTCTGTTTAAAAAACGTGGAGGAACTCACAGTTTCTTGGGAGGGCAGGGTTCTGTTTGTTTAATGGAAATGGAAGAATGGTCTCTGAGGATACTCCCTGTCTGAGGTCTGGTGCACAGGAGACACTAAATTTTCAGAGCAGGGACAGCATAGGGTGAAAACCTCTCCTTTAATTATCGGATGAAGTGGCGCACAAGCTCCCTGTTGGGCAAGCCTATCAAAGCTACCTCCCTCCTACATTCATAACAAGCCCCTAACAGTCTTCCCATTTTAATTCCTTTCACAAACATATATAGCCCATATATGACAAAATGATCCTCGTAAAGCAATAAACCTGGGTTTCTGACTTCCAAGAATAAGGTTATTTTAAAGACAAATTGTACACTGGCCAGAAGGTATGTAAAGCATTTGCAGTGGTAAAAAGCTAAAAACCTCAGACTTTGGGCCATTGGGCTTGGAGACAGAACCATCAGAAAACCATTCAAATGAGAACGTCTGGTGAGACTGCAGGGCGTCCCAGCAGCTGCATGACCAGGGTGACCCCAATGCCCTGGCTCACCCCAGTGCTGGGAGGAATTCCTGGTTTGGAAAGTCCCAGTTGAAAATGTTTCTCCAAAAGAGAGGTAGCCTTGCCTTTGCTGAGCTATTTTACACGCCTGCATTTCCTGTGCGCAATTTGCCTTTAAACAGTCCCTCAAATACTGTGGGATATAAAAAATTCTAAATACAGCTACAGTAAAAATAGAGTTAAATCTAAAAAGCATTAAAGGAAAGGATCTATCTTCACAAAGTCTGATCAAAGTAGTGACTTCCTGGGGAATCATTACTAAGGGGAACCAGCTCCTGATGCCCTTGGCTTACCATGACAACTCCCCCAGACTGTTCCGCCGTGCACATGCTCATGATCGGGGCCATGCCGATGGTGGTTCCTTGGAAATAAACCCCACTAGGAAATAAAAGAGAGGACTTTCTTTAATCAAATTAGAATGGGGGCATTCTCTCATATTTAAAAATTTTGTTGGACATTCCTACAATAAAATATGCAAAAATAAGAATAGCAACATGAGGATATATTCACATGTGATTTTATCTTTTTTTTCCTGAAAATTTTATTTCTGCAGTTATATCCTGGTTCCATCATGTTTTTGGAGTTTTGTTTTCAAGACTCAAACAACAACTAGTTATTACACTGTACTTATGAGTTGTATCCTGCCTATTTCCTAATGGCTGTCGGAAGCTGCTCCATCTAAACAGTGTTTGCTGAGGGAAAGGCTGAAAATAGTCACCGAGAACCACTGTTAACTAAAAGAAATGCATTAGATGGTTTACTAGATTTTCACTGTAGCTTAACTGCTTTCCTGGGTAACTTACTACAATTCTGCCAGAAACCCAAACTCCTACAAAACGTCCTGCTAAGATAGCTTGCAAAATTGAAACTGGCAGGAAAATGATCAATCCTGGAGCTAGTGTAGAACAGGTGAGCACCCACAAAGCCTTGGCACCAAGGGAGGAGCCTTCTGCAAGGGGACTTCATGGCTTCAATGCAGTCGTCCTGTCTGGAATCTTAACCTAATCATGGATCTAATGACACGAAGGACTTGTTGAACACAGATGCTGTTAATTCCAACCTCAAGCATGAAAAACAAAACACTGTGTTTGTTGAATTTCCTTTAAAGGAGTCAAATGACTTACCAATGCTATCTTGGCCATGTATGTATACAGATACGTTGTTTGAAAAGTTAGATATTTTAGCTACGGTCAATTGAACAGAAGGTGATAAGTGTATAAAAAACCTTCTCCCTCCCTCCCTCCCTCCCTCTCCCCCTCCTTCCCTCCCCCCCTTCTTCCCTCCCTTCTTCCTTCCCTCTCTTTCTCTCTCTCCTTCTCCCTCCCTCCTTCCCTCCCTCTCTCCTTCCCTCTCTATCCACCTATCCCACTAATATTTACAGTAGTAGAAATTTCAGTCCTTATTTACATCTATATAGACTATATGAACAGATACAATTATACATGTATATAAATAATAAGGTTATATAAGATGATAATTTATTTCCAGATGTTCAAGTTGGACAGACTCCATTTGGGAAAAATATCAAAACACTATGACTCAAAATATATAAAATATACTTTTAGTAGTTCAGGACTAATCAATGCATAAAATGTGAAGCAAACACAAACACTCAAAGGCGGGGGTAGGGGACCCTGTGAAAATGGCCAAAGTAAATCATTAAGGACTGCCAGCAGCCTCAGTTCAGATGTAGGCATTTTCTAAAGTGACAATGGGATAGGACTGGTACTTTTTAACTTTCCACAAATGTTCAATAGCTACACTGGGTTTCTCAAAGGAAAGAGTCGCTGTCCCAGAAGCTTTCATTTCTGTGATATGTCACATGACAACAAAAGAAAGTCGCACAAAGTGTTTAAAGATTTAAATAAAAATTTGTTGCTTCTAGAAACATCTACTTCATATTAATTTAGACTGATATAAGATTGTTCCTTTTTTGGGCCAGGTGCGGTGGTTCACACCTGTAACCCAACACTTTGGGAGGCAGAGGACGGCAAATCATGGGGTCAGGAGTTCAAGACCAGCCTGGCCAACATGGTGAAACCCCATCTCTACTAAACATACAAAAAATTAGCTGGGCATGGTGACAGGTGCCTATCTCAGCTACTTGGGAGGCTGAGGCAGGAGAATCGCTTGAACCTGGGAGACAGAGGTTGCAGTGAGCCAAGATCTCACCATTGCACTCCAGCCTGGGTGACAGTGTGAGACTCTGTCTCAAAAAAAAAGAAAAAAAAATTCTTCCTTTTTTAAAAAGTATGAAGAAGGTATCTGTAACATCCCACCAATTTTTGTGTTATAATAGAACTATGCTTTCCCTTAGTTTATCATCTTCAAGTTCATCACGTGACATTTTCCTCTTTATTCTTGTCTCTCTTAGCAGCGTGGAGACTGCTGAGAGCTGGGAGATTTCCAGTGTTGGCCACCATTGTGTTCAGTCCGTAACAGGTACTCGATGCATATTGATTTAAAGAGGGAACACAAGGTTAATGTGCTATACTATTGGTGTCCTCTGATCTAGAAAACCAAAGAGTAACAGCCAAAAGAGGAGGAGGAGTGAAGTCTTTTTTCCCTCCAGGAATCTGACAATATTCACTTAAAGTATTGTCCTGAGGTCTTGTCAACACACATTTTCCACTAACAATGATGAGCCTTTAGAAACAGGCTACTCAGGACAAATTTACATCATGGCTAAAGTCAGAAAAATTGGTATAGAGGAAAATGTCCAGGTTCTGGAAGAAGGAAATGAGAATTCTGTAGAGGGACAGGTTTCCCAGCGTGTTCAGAGGGACACTTTCCTTTATTTTTATTTTTTGAGATGGAGTCTCACTCTGTCACCCGGCTGGAGTGCAATGGCACAATCTTGGCTCACTGCAACCTCCGACTCCCTGGTTCAAGCGATTTTCCTGCCTCAGCCTCCCAAGTAGCTGGGATTACAGGCACAAGCCACCATACCCAGCTTATTTTTATATTTTTAGTAGAGATGGGGTTTCAACATGTTGGCCAGGATGGTCTCGATCTCCTGACCTCGTGATCTGCCCGCCTCGGTCTCTCAAAGTGCTGGGATTACAGGCATGAGCCAACGCGCCCAGCCCCAGAGGGACACTTTCCTAACAGACCTTCAGTTCCAGGTGAGGGTGACATCTCCCCACTGGTGTGAGCTGAGAAGCCCCCTTGTACATGGCAGTGTGCTCTGCAGAAAGGTGGCAGCTCTGGGGCTGTGCACGTGAAACTAAGGGCTTTGTCGATGGGACTCTTTTTAAGCAGAAGGAGATGGAACTCCCTACCTGATAAGCTGTGCGTTGTCATGGGATTTGCGAGGTAGAAGCTTCATCTTCCTCCAGTCCAGAAACTCATGGAGGCTGCTGAATGGGTCCTGACTTATGGAGCATTTGTCGACGTCATTCCATACTTCCATGCCGACCAACACGACCCGAATGTTCAGTGGTCTGTAAAACTGGGCGAAACAGGCAGAACTGGCATTGGAGTTGGGATCACATTAATGAAAACTCAAAATGAAAATTAGAACAGATTTGCGTTGGTTGAGGTTCACTGACGCAGGTGAGAAAAATATCCCTGTGCTCTTTGGTTTCTGTGGCGTTGGAATTTAAGAAATATTTGCAGTGCCTAATGCAAAGTGATGTGTTAACTAGGTTCTCGAAGGCTGACCAATTAGATGCTAAAGTTATTAGCTTTTGCACTGTCTACCCCCATTTGTATGGAAGCTCACATTTCAAATGATTCATCAGTGATTTAAAATGTACATACAGATGTATATTACAGCTAAAGACGGCTAGTTAATATCCACTGCGAGTGAGACAATAAGTGAATTAGGATCTTTCAGACACTTCTGCCAAGGACAATATCTTGTTCACTTTGAGCAAAACATTCTGCCTATGAGTTACTGAAAATGAATCTCTATTAATTTTTCAGCAAAATCTCAGCCTTGGCCAACACTATCATATTCTGTCGCCTATAATCAACCTAGAGGGAAGTAATTAAATGAAGAAGTCAGTATCTTTCAGAATAATAAAGGCATACACAGGGCCCTTCTTCAGGAACATTAATGACTACCCTTCTCCTCCCCATAGCCAGAAGTTAACTCACCAACACTGTGATGGAAATATGTTAAGTGAAGATCCTCTTTTATGGGCTTGTGAAACAAAGCATCAGGCAAACCACTGAAAGCAAGAATTCTCACCCTCCTGTGGCCCCCAACACCTTTGGGCATTTCTGACTTCAGCTTACAGCCCATACCTGACTACACCTACAGGCAGGTAGTCCTGGGTCAGAGGCTACTCTTCTGGGGCTACGGGATGGCTTTGTCTCATAGGAGCTCAGAGGGCCCGGATGAGTGGTCAGCATAGAGGTATGACCTGCCCATTGTCCTCATACGCATCACGTAAACAAAAAGATGGCTTTGTGTTCATGGTTGACGGGGCGAGGACATGGTATCACCTGGTTGGCTGTCAAATCTTTCAATGCCCCTGGTATATGAGACAGCAGACAGGGAGAAAGCCCTCATCTTCTGAAACCCCAGATAGCCAAGGAGAAAAGGGTGGCTAGTGATAACAGCCAAAGCCAAGCACCAGATGAGAGCAGGCCCTATTCTCAGTTGCTAGAAGCATCTGGCCAATGAGTAACAAAACTTACAGAAGTTCTGTATTTGCTAGTTAAGCACCATTCTAACACGGTGAACTAAAGTACAAAATGCTCCTCAAAGCTGAACATCTGATCCTAGATTCTAACCCACATAAGGCGAGCTCATCTTTTCCCTTGCTGGTCCCCACAGTCATCTGGTGAGCACTGGGATAGCAGAAGACATGACTGGGTACAAGCTGCATCACAGAATATACACTGATTGCATTTGTCCAACTTGGTTTCAAACAGATCACAATTACAGACATGACATTAATGAGTTAATGAGACAGTTACAACACAGCCCAACAGTTTGTTTTCAATCAGGAATTGCACGGCCCACACTATCTGCTTGCACACTCCCAGCCCAGGCTTCCCTGGCAAAAATAAGTTCCTGGCCCGCTCAGGAACTCTGAATGTACGTGTTTGGCTGCTGTCCATCGAGGGATTACATTTTGAGCTCTATTGTAGGCAAAGGTAACGGTGATCAGAAAGCAGCAATGGAGGTGATCCAATGCTGATGCTTACACCGGCTTGCTAGGAGGTGTCCTTGGGGTCAGACACCTTGCGTGGGCTCAGGGTTGTCTTCTGGGAAGGGGACACTAGGTTTGCCTCCCAGGAGCACTATATGGAGGTTTGCAAAGGCTAATTGTCATCATTTCTCAGTGCTAGGTTTGCTGTTTCCTAATCAAGGGGCTTTTCACGCTAATGATGGGTTTTACATTTCTACCCACTAGGCCTCTCAGCCACATCCTTAGAACTGATTTCTCACTTAGTAATAATACAACAGACAACCTCCCCTCTCCAAAATTGGTGCCATTGTTGGACTGTCATATATTCTAAACTCACATCAAGTCATCATACACGATGCCTTTACTGCCTGCTCTGAAAGTTCTTTCCAGGGCTGCTGACGGGTTCCTTTTGATTCTTCCTAATAACAGCCAGCATTGCTAATGTTTAGTGAGCATCACTGTATCCCAGGCACGATGCCATGGTGGTTTCTGTGCTGTGGCTTAATCCTGAAAACAACTCTGTGAGTTAAGAATTATTATTATTTCCATTTTATAGCCAAAGGCACGCAGGCTTGGCGAAGCCAGGTGACTTAAGATTTCGACTGCATGGCTGCGGTGGGAACACAGGCCAGCTAACCCTGACACTCATGTTTGAAACCACCAGGTCACACTGCCCTCTTCTGTGAGTGCTAAGACTCCCTTCCATGATGGCCCACTGTGACCCCAGGCCTGGAGAGAAGCTCATGGGCCTCTGCCGTACAAATGGAGCTTGGCAGCTGCCTGCCTGACTTACAAAGCCCAGGACACATGTGGGCACAGTCAGAGACCCAACTGAAGCAATTCACCTGTTTACAAAACAGCAACAAATATTTGCTTGCCTCTTGCTGTGGGCTGGGTCTGGCAGTGGCAGAGAAAGCAAAGATTAGAATGTCCTTGTCCTTGCCACCCAAATGCTCAGAGGTCACCAGGGACTTAAGGCATGGCATACTAATCTATTAGTTCAGTTAACTCCAATACAGTGAACTGCCAAGCAGTGGTGCCCATAGAAGTCCTGGGATGCTGCACTGGAGGCTTTTGGGAAGGAGCAGTGAGGTGGAATCCCCTGGGGTCCAATGAGGGAGCTTGCATCCTTCAGGCAACTGGTTTGGGACAGGAGGGGAAGAAATCTGTCACATGAGTGAAAATATTCTAAGAAATTAAATACACAGAGGCTGGGTCTGGTAGCTCATGCCTGTAATCCCAGCACTTTGGGAGGCTCAGGTGGGCTGATCACTTGAGGTCAGATCCTTGAGGCCAGCCTCAAATGTGGTGAAACCACATCTCTACTAAAAATACAAAAATTAGCCAGGCATGGTGGTAGGCACCTGTAATTCTAGCTATTCCGGAGGCTGAAGCAGGAGAATTGCTTGAACCTGGGAGGTGGAGGTTGCAGTAAGCTGAGATCACACCACTGTGCTCCACCCTTGGGGATACAGTGAGACTCTGTCTCAAAAAAGAAAAAAGAAGAAGAAGAAAGAAAAGAAATTAAACACATAGGAGATGAGTCCTTTCAGAAGCAGGTGACTGAATTTGCAGCTGACACTAACTTCCTAATGAATAAGGAGAACCAATCAGAGGTGAGAGTGAAAGATGCAAACCCCACAATAGCTCCATCGGCAGGTGCACTCCCCAGGCTCCTGCAGCAATGTAATGAGGACCGTGGGAAAACCCAGCGTCTGGCCTAGAAGCATGAGTGCCAGACAAGCCTTCTGTGTTTCACTTACGGGGGATTTCCTGAACATTCCAAAACTTCACCTTCATCACTAAACCACTCCTCTGTCTTCTAGGCTGAGATGTCCTCCCTTTCCACGCAGCCAGCAGTTGTTAATTTAGAATAGTCCAGGACAGCCAAGACTTCAGCAAATGAGGGAACTGCCACTGGCACAGTCATTGTTTTCTGGGCTGAGACATGTCCACTGACAGAGTTGAAAAACTGAAATTTAGAGAATTGCATAACAGAGCTGGGAGTCGTCTGTTAATAGACTTGGAAGCAGCAAGTCTCCCAGGGAGCCTGGGTATCTCCTCCAAGGCCTTTGGAGTCTGCTGGGCATGGACAGGGATGCCAGGGCCAGAGGTAGCCGTGTGCTCAGCAAATCGGCTCTCTCCCTGCCAGAAACACAAGAACAGCCAGACTGGCAAACTCCATGGCGTCCGTTAGGACTTTGCCAAGACACGGTGTTCTTTAATTACCAGTGCAAGTTATTAACAAACCCCCAATTGCTCATTTTTGGTTTTACAAACTGAAGCAAGATATAACCTGGAATAAATGGGAAGAAATATAAACACAGAGGACCCAAACACATCCCTTTTTAAAATGGGGCTTCAGGAATTTCCAGTTTGGGTTTAATAGAGTTCATCATTTCCTTTTGCTTCCGAGGTCTAAGAAGAACGCGTGCTTTCTCCCTGTCAGACAGTCTGAGGACAGCCTGAAGCCTTCCGGGCAACGGTTCAACTCGCTCACCTTGGAGTGGCACCTGTGCTCCCAGCTCAGGCTCCTAAGCCTTCCGCCCTCTAGGCCAGTGTGTCTCAGTCCCACCTCGGCCCCCCAGTCAATCAAATCAGAATCCCTGGCCCGAGGTATGGGAATCAACATTTCAAAAAGTAAACATATAAACAAATAACCAAACTCCCCGCAGGGCTTCTAATGCCCAGCCGAGACCGAGGCCCAGTTCTAACAGCTGTGCTGTCTTTGATGTCTCCTCTAAGACACACCCTTCATCCCCTGCCAGCACTCGCCTTTCACCAGGATTCTCCTGCACCTGGACTTTGGGATGAAGTTGAATCTGCAAAGAGTAACTACTGAAAACACATCAACAGGCAGGGGTTGCCAGGGAGTTTGACCTGCTTCAACGGTGGACAAGGGCAATATCATCCCAGGATATCAATAGCCATATGGGTTTTTCAGACTTCCAGAAATTTCCATCCAGCCATAGCCTCTCTCTGTGTGGCAAGCCCAGATCTCTGACTGCTCAGCATGCCCTTCAGAACTCCTCTTCCTGCTCCGGCTTTGCTTGGGTCTGAAGTATCCTCTACCTGCCTCTCCACTCCAGTGAAACTGGCAGTCATGGGATCTCCCACTTGCCCTTAGCCTCTGCTTGGTCATCATGAGGTCCTGGGACTCACAGTAGAGTCCAGGTAGAGTAGAGTCAAGACCAAGAGCCCCTGCTGGGGGTCAGTGAGACTGTGTCTCATCTCTCGTCCTGCAAATGACTAACCTCTGCCCATCTCAGCTTCTTCTGCTTTAAAAATAGAAACAGGCTGGGTGCAGTGTCTCACGCCTGTAATCCCAGCACTTTGGGAGGCTCAGGTGGGTAGATCATGAGATCAGGAGTTCAAGACCAGCCTGGCCAAGATGGTGAAACCCCATCTCTACTAAAAATACAAAAATTAGCTGGGTGTTGTGGTAGGTGCCAGTAATTCCAGCTACTCAGGAGGCTGAGGCAGAGAGTTGCTTGAACTCGGGAGGCAGAGGTTGCAGTGAGCCAAGATCCCACCACTGTACTCCAGCCTGGGTGACAGAGTGAGACTCCAATAAAAAAAAAAAAAAAGGAACAATAGCACATACCTGAGAGCAAAAAAAAAAAAAAAAAAAAGGAACAATAGCACATACCTGAGAGCATATGCAAAGCACTCAGAGCCCGGCACACAGTAACTGCTAAAAAAAAACTAAGGAATCGAGAAACACATCCCTTCAAGCATCTAAATCCTTGTCCTTCTCACATCCCCACTTCCCCTGCCCTGGGTCAGGCCTTGATCATTTCTATGCAATAGGCTCCTCCCAGCCCTATTTGTCTTTGGTTATTCCACCCTCCACAGTAACTGCAGGAATATCTTTCTACAATCCTGAGCTTCTCTCCCCTGCTTAAAAACATTCACCTAGCTCTCCATCCACTGCAGAGTAACACCAAGATGGCTTTGTAGAGCAGCCAGAGCCTTGAGTGCTCTGAATCTTTGCAGCTTCATCTCCTCCTGCCCTAGCTGTGTGTGCATGCATTTGCATACAATATGAGCATGTGTGTACATAAACATACATCATGCATGCAGGTCACACACATGAACACACATAGGAACGCACATGCATGTGCATGCACATGAATCACATACATGTCCACACCACACATACTCCTTCTGCTCTGCTCGTGGTGAAACTGAACTTACCTTTTAGGATCCTCTCCCTGCAAAGACTCTCTGACCCCCAGAAGAAGAAAATGATTCTCTTCTGCATCCCCATAGACCTCCATTCACAGCATGGGCCTACTTCCTAATGCCTTGGACCATGCTGTGTGGGTTGCATGTGTGCTTCCCTACACAGCCTTGACTTTCTCAGGTGGAGGGACCACATCTGATTCATTCTGAATTCTTGATGCAGAGTGCATAAGGCCTTGCAATATAGAGCTGAATTTCTGGAAGGGCCTTGCCTTCATTCTTTGAAAAACTTAGAAAGCACCATTCACATCTAATCAGATTACTTGGAAACAAGGGTATCGTGACGCATCCTCACAAACCCTTGTGTGTAAAATCTGCTGTTTCAGAGGACCATGGCTGTGAAAGTCTCAGCCATGGCCAGATTCCTTCTCACGCTGTCCCTGCAGACAAGAGACTCAATATTGCCAAGAGGTTGTGGTTGCTTTAGGACAGCAGTCGCCATCTACATTGGACATGAGAATTGCTGGAGACCTTCTGAAAATTCTGAGGTCTAACCTCCTCCCTTCCGTACCCCCCTTGAAGGCAGCAATGTTTCTGGAAGCCTCCCCTCAGCTCCAATGTACAGGGCATATGAGAAGCCTATTTTAGGCTGAGAGTTGTCAGCATCCAACAGACAACATCCTCTCCAGCAGGATGCGATGAGGAAGGACAGGTGGTTTAGACAGGGAGCACTGCCATTTTCTTTGCCAGCCCACAGTATGAGCAGCAGTTAGTCAACAAGTGCCCCAGGAGGAGGACCCAGTTTCCAGAGGCTTCTCCAGAGAGGAAATAGTCTTGTGAAAGGTGAGTTTCTGACCTGCTTGTTCCTGGTGAGGGATTTCCCAATAACTGATGGAGCTGAAAGTCAACTTTTGTGTCTCAGGACGGTGGATCCTGTTCTTTATAAATGCAAGCCCACCCTCAGGGTTACATTGGTACAGGGCTGCAATGGTGGAGGCAGATTGAATGGGTCTGTGGGATCTATCACTGGAAGACCTGGGAGAGGCCTAGCTCAGGAGCAATCCAAAGGATCAGATGGACTCTGCAGGGACTCTGGGGCTAACTGGGTGTCCGAAATACCCTCAGATTGGTGTTCCTCCCGGCCAGAAGAGAGCCTGGAGGAAGACATGTCCCCAAGGCCACCAGAGTCCAGACAGCTGTGGTTTGGCATCTCCTGCAGCTGCCCCAGGACCCAGCAATTACATATCCAGAAGACAGGAAACTGAATTCCAACCAAAGGCCCAGAGGCAGAACCTCTTCTCCTTGCTAAGTCAGATGAGGTCCCTCAACCTCATTTCCAAACATTTACATTATGGGAATGATTTAACTACTGAAAAAGAACTTACCTTGTCAACGTGATTAGCAATCTCTATTAATCGCTGTTTAACTTTTTCCAGGTCTTTTCCTTGCCTCTGAAACTGAACAATTTTAAATGTCAGCATTAATACCAGCAAGAATATCAATCATGTCTCATCTTCCCGGCTCCTGGAAATGTGAAGTCTTGGGATTTTGTAAACCACTGGGGACCTGCCACAGTTTATGGTGAAATGAGCTTGCATCCTGCTGAATAACTTTCCCGGTTGGAGACTCCCTGAAACTCCCTGAAATTTGCCTAAGCCAAGTGCTCACAAGACAGCAACTTCTGCGATTTTCCAGCCTCATAAATGATGGAGGCAGTGACATGTTTTGGCAAAGAGGAAACAGACAACTAGAAGTCAGTCCAAAGCCATTTTTCATATCAACAACTTGATTTTAACTTCCTGAGAAATTATCTTTATATCTGTTTTTAAAAATTAAAAAGTAAACATAATAGAAGCCCACGGCAACTTGTCAAACAATACAGAGGAGAATGGAAAAAAAAAAAAAAAAAAAAAAGTCAACGAATTCCCCATTCTCCTCTCTAATCTGACATTCCAGAGAGGGAATAGTTTTCTGAAACATAGTCAAGCCTGTTTCATTCATATGTGTTGAATGAGTCTATGAGAAAATATCACCCAATTCATATATATCAATGAGGTAGTGCATAAATACAGAGAAGACAGTCTTTAGAAAAACTAATTCAAAATTAATTAAAAAACAAATATTGTATCAAGTCATAGCTCAGAAGGGAGGATTTTTCTGTTGTGTCTCTATAGCTTTCATTCATTCATTCATTCATTCATTTTGATTAATGACATGTGGGATGTTTTCTAAACGTCCCATTTTAAGAACTAAACTTTTCCCCAAGATGTTTTATAACACAATCTAAAGCCTTCTGTCATTCCCCCAGTTAATTCTTGTTTGGAGAGCTTAGCTACAGAGAAATTCTGTTCCTGTTTTTTTTTTTCCCCTTGTGGGCTTTGCCATTACTTTATATATCAGATAAAATTTTAATATTGTATGCTTTTTAAAATCAGAAAACCACTGTTTCCATTGCTTTTAAGAGCACATAGGAAATGCAGTTCATTAAAGCAAGTAATAACTTGCAAAACAGGTTCTGTTTTCTTTTTTGTCTAACCAACTGTACTGAGCAATATCAAAAAGCTCTTACCTCTCGGTTGTCTGCCACGATCACCAGCTCCACATACTTGGTTGTCTTGAGGGTTTCCCTTTTACTCTGCCAAGAGTAAACATGCACTTAATCTCTCTTAATGCCTCTCCGGGGCTTCCAGAACACTGTCGAAGTCTCTCAATCCAAACACTTGAGGTTGAGAATTTATCCCCACCATCCCCACCAGGCCCCCACACCTCCACTCTATCTAGAAGTTTATCCCAACTCCAACCATCTCTTTGTAAAACCTTCTCAACATGAGTGGCCGGCATCCATTTTCACTTGGAAAACCCTTACAAAGGAGTTTAACCTTTCTGCTGAACCACAGATTACTGGAGCAGAAAAAAGATTATTAAACAAAACGAGCACATAAACAAACAAAACCAAAGCACTCTCTAGAACAGGAGCCAGTCAAAGGTGGTTCATTTCAGACCACATGTAGCACACTTGAAGGTCATTAGAGAAGACGATGGAGTTCAGTGCACCCTGGCCGTTCCCTTTGTCTTCATGGTCCAAGCGTACCTGTTTTGTGACTTGAGAAAAGTGGAGAATATGTTTTGAACAGGAACTGCATAGTCATTTTGAAAATGATCATATAAAAGTCTAGCTAGAAGCCATGGAAGACTGAGGTAGCTGGAGACAAGGGAACTGTCAGACCAATGAACAGAGAAGTGAGGAAGGTATGAGGAGAACGAAAAGGAGCAAAAAGAAAGAGAACAGGAAGAAACAGAGCTAAGAAAAAGTAAGACTCTAATGCGCCCCTGGAGAACAGGGATTCCGTAAGAGGGAGACAGTTGAGGGAATGTGGAAAGTGGATATGGAGGTGGATGAAAGGAGTTGATTCAGGCAGCAGAAGTAGGAACCCTGTCCCCACAAAGGCGGCTCCTGAAGCAGGTCACATTTTAATCAAACTTCTTCCAAAAGCATTCGCACTCTTCTGTGAATTACTGGGAGAATTCCAAACGCAGTTTTAAGAGAAATAAAGCAATTCGTGGAGGGTGGTCCCAAAAAGCAAACATTAAAAACAAAAAACAAAGCCTTCTGTTTCTGCCATAAAATGCAGTTGGAGGAAGTGGGGGTTGAGTCGGTCTTTGGTCTTGGTGACTGATATTGCTGGTTTATGAGTTAACTGCACACACTGCTTCAACTTTAAAACCTGCATGTTATAATCAGTCTTTCAGACAAAAGAAAAAAAAAAAAAAAAATCACGAAAGTATGCTTTGAATCAGGTTTCCAGTCACATAATCCTGAGGGAAACATCTTTTATAAAACAAACCCCCATCAGTCCGGGATCTTCCAAACAGATTTTTACAAGAAAAATGTTTGTATTATAACAGTGTTCCTTCTTGCTGCCCAGCTGTGCTGATTCATGAATTTAGGTGTCCCTAAAGAAATCTGGAAACCTTATGGAAAAGGAAAAAGAAAGCACCAGGAAAGGAACAATTTCTCATATTTTTACCATGTAACAACAAGAAACTGTCATGCTTTGTAACTGTATGTTGGAGGCATGCTTTATGGTGATAACTATGTGCTACTTACAAAAGAAAAAACATTCGCCCCCATGGTGCCCAGGGTTGCACACAAAATGAGACACCTTCTGAAAGTGTGAGGATCTTGCTCTTTTTCCTCACTGAGGTGTGAAAGAGGCAGAACTCTCTCTGCTGTCCACAATTCCCTGATTAACCATTAACAAATTCGGCTAATTATGCGGAAGAAAATATAGGTCTAGAAATGAAAGATGAATCTCTCATTGAAAACGTCATTGAAAGGAATCTGGTTGTTCAGACGTTTACACTTTGCAGTCTGCAGAGTGAAATAAACGCGATGGGATATTTCCAACTGGCTTAGGATCTTCATTTAGAAAATACACAATTCCAGATAATAAAAACAAACACATGAACACAATTTTCCTGTCTCTGCAATTTTCAGACGAGTCTACATTTTCTCATGGATTCAGAGAATTGCAAGCTCAGAGAGAAGCTTAGCCACATAATAAGCAGCACTGCGGGAGTGGCTGTCACAGCGCAGAGGTTTATTTTATTAGCTACACACACACACACACACACACACACACACACACAGAGAGAGAGAGAGAGAGAGAGAGAGAGAGAGAGGCTTACATTATCCCCATGTAACTTCCACCTATCTGGCTGCCTAGTTTTAAAAAAATCACATTTTTAAATTTGTAATATGGAGAGAAACTGGTTGCTTAAGATATGGAACCAACCCAAATGCCCATCAATGACAGACTGGATAAAGAAAATGTAGTATATATACACCATGGAATACTATGCAGCCATAAAAAAGAATGAGATCATGTCCTTTGCGGGGACACAGATGAAGCTGGAGACCATTATCCTTAGCAAACTAACACAGAAGCAGAGAGCCAAGTGGGAGTTGAACAGTAAGAACACATGGACACAGGGAGGGGAATAATACACACCAGGGCCTGTTGAGGGCTGGAGGGTGAGGGGAGGGAATTTACAGGCTAGGTTATTAGGTGCAGCAAACCACCATGGCACATGTATACCTATGTAACAAACCTGCACATTCTGCATATGTATCCATTTTTTTTTTAGAAGAAATTAAAATAATAATTCAAAAAAATTTAAAAAGAAACTGTTTGCTCAATGGAATTTTCATTTTGGGGGGTTATAAACAAAAGCTTTTCCTCAAACTGGAAGATAAGCCTCTGAGACTGGCCCAACAGTCTCCGTTCCCAGGTGGAGGCAGAGGCATTCTTTGAATCTTGCTCAAGAGAGAAACAGTTCCTGGGTATCTCAAAGTCATCACAGCCAAGTTCCCCAGGAGAGACGTCCCCCAGGCAGCCTGCAGGGAGGACTCTGGTAATGGGAACTTGACTCAAGTGAGAAAAGCAAGTTGAAATTAGGGCTACAATAAATCCTCACGGCAACTCTTTAATTCTTTTTCACATGGGTCCGACCATTTGTATAACATTTATTCACGGTCGCTATCTACCAGGGATGCAGTTTCTGCTAGGCACTGCGCTGGGCGCTGTGGATACAGCGTGGAGAGGAAACCCATATTCCCGAAACCCAGTGTCCTCCGGAAACTCATATTCTGGTGGGGGCTGGGCGAAGGTGAGCCCATGCAGAATGAACAAAAGTAAGAGAGCGTCTATGCAAAGTACAACCAAGGAAACAAACAGTGTTCTGTAGGAAGGATGAAGCTGGGCAGTGGTAGCTGCAGCGATGGTCTAAGGTAGCTGAGGCCTGAAGGATGAGAAGCAGGCATGTGTGGGACAATTGCGGGAACAGTGTTTCAGGTAGATGGAATGGCAACAGCAGATGTCCTGAGGCTGGGCAGAGCTTGTGGGTGTTTGGGAACAGGCCGTATGGCTGGAGCCTGGCGAATGTGGGAAAACAGTGGATGGGAGGAGGTGGAAGATGGGGATGGGACAGAGGGGCCATGGGAAGGAGGGTGAGTGATAGTCTAATAATCTAAGAGTAGGGGGGCCTTGAATGTGAGACTTAAAAAATATTGCAGCTGGACGCGGTGGCTCATGTCTATAATCCCAACACTTTGGGAGGCAGAGGCGGGTGAATCACTTGAGGTCAGGAGTTTGAGACCAGCCTCGTCAACATGGTGAAACCCTGTCTCTACTAAAAATACAAAAATTAGCCGGGTTAGGTAGTGCACAACATATATATAGCTCTGGCTACTGGAAGGAGAATGGATTCTGAGGGCATGATATTGGAAGCTGAGAATGTAGCAAGGAGGCTGTGCAGTCATCCAGTGAGAGGTGGCAGTCGTGATGGACATGGGCAGCCACAGGCAAGCCAACTATGCCATCATCCAAAGCTAGAAAACAACAATCACAATGAGACCAGGGCCAATGTTTCCATCGGCGGCAAGATCAGCAAATGAAATGAATCAAAAGTTTGTTTTCTTTTCCTCTAGGTGAGAAAAAAATCGGTATTAGCTCAAGCCAGGCCCATGCCTTGACTCTAAGGTCACTTTTTGAGTATTTGTAAGTCGAGCCGCGATTTCAGTTAGGAAAGGTTGTCTCCACCATCCTCATCCGTGACTGGCCTGGGGACAACACACTGATCATATTCACACGGGATACAGGCTCTGACACCTGGCTGACGTGTAGGCGGGCAGAAGCAAACAAATGGGATAATCTGCTATGAGAATAGGCTGAATCTGGCAAACCGAATTTTAGTGGGGCCAAGTGTGAAGTATTGAGGTTAAGCCTAAAAAAATGAATGATACCACTGAGATTTATTATTTATTTATCCAGAGCTTTAGTGGATTTGAGACTTACTAGGAATTCACACCTGCAAAACTGGAGCCTCCCCTCACACAAATAGATATTCAAAGCTCAGGGCCAAGGAAGTGGTGCTGCCCTATTCCCCACCACCAAGCTTTTCTATTTTTTTTTTTTTGAGATGGATTTTCACTCTTGTCACCCAGGCTGGAGTGCAATGGTGCGATCTCGGCTCACCACAGCCTCTGCCTCCCGGGTTCAAGTGACTCTCCTGCCTCAGCCTCCCGAGTAGCTGAAATTACAGGCACCTGCCACCATGCCCAGCTAATTTTTGTATATTTAGTAGAGACAGGGTTTCACCATGTTGGCCAGGTTGTTCTTGAACTCCTGACCTCAGGTGATCTGCCCACCTCGGCCTCCCAAAGTGCTGGGATTACAGGTGTGATCCATGCACCAGGCCCACACAGCCAAGCTTTAAGAACAACTAAGGTATAGTAAGAGAACATGGTAGTCTCTAGAGGAGACATGGAAGCAAGGATGGTTGTCAGAGAAGAATGAAGTGTGCCTGTTATAATTAATGAGTTTTCAAACTCTTCTGGCCAGTTCCTGACACTCAACTCTTGTTAGACTCTACATATAATATGAGTTACATATTACTTTCTACAAATACCCCATCACTACTGTGGCTTGTATTACACAAATACGATAGGCTGTCTAGAAACACAAAAGCAATAGCACCAGTCATTTCATAGCGGCCACATGTGAGAAAGCACAACAGCGCCTCCTCACGCTCCATCCTGTCTGTACACAGCGGCCCAAGCAAATGTTTCTTTTCAGATAAGGCAGCAACTTTTCTATTTGACTCATAATTATCCATACTAACGGAGGGGAACAATGGCACAGATAATCCCTAAAGAAAGGGCAATTCAAAAATAATTTACATTTGCCTTTGGGATGTCTTATGTGATTTTCTCCGGTAGATTTACCGTTTAGGCTGATGTTAAAGTTGGTTTGCATTCTTGAATGAGTAGCCGATGGAGAGGGAAGGAGTCCTCCGTGGGGGAGCTGAAGAGTTAGGAGGCTTCAGGCTGGACTAAAAGATCCACAGAGAGAAAGAGCTGACGGTGACACTCCCTGTTTCTCTGTGCCCTTGGAGGGGCAACTTGGGTTCTCACTAAAATCTAATGTAGAGCCTTGTAAAAATGACAAACAATAGCTCAGGTTTATATCACAGCCAGTGTGTACCCTGAGCACAGATTTATTCCCAATGCTCTGTGAAGAAAAACGCAAACATCTGCAGGAAAATCAAAAGCCTGTAAACCAGTCTTCGCAATAGTTAACATCTAGCGGGGACAGAAAAATGCAGGGGAAAAGCAAATGCAGTCGCTGCATTGCATAAACAACATGAGTTAGCAGCATTTCCATTGATTTTTCTTTTTTAAAGAGTGAAATAAAGGCAGGGTAAGTGGGGCAGGAAATGTCCCTTTCATATTTACCATAGGTGCTAACCAAAACAATCTCCCATAGAATTCCAATTTGCAAGGATTCCACATATTTGAAATTACTTTTCTCACCATTTTCATTATATACATGTATTTTAAGTCAAAGATGTTTTCCCTTCCATAAAAACAATCACAGCTCTTTCTAGAGAGAAATATTGAGAACCAAGTTGATGGCATCGATGCCTTCCCTTTTCAATTTAAAGGATCATTTGCACTAAAATATGCATTATTAACAAAGCACAGTTATTTCCATTCTCCCCATTTCTCCACAAGTCCAAATGACTGGATATTACAGTCATGCTTCTAGAGAGCTGTAAGCTAAAAGAATTAAAATATGGCTGGCAAGTACAGACCCAGTTCATACTCCTAAATGAAACCACAAACATATTTGAGTGTCATTTAAACTATCAAGTTATAAATCTCATAATGTAGGCAGCATGCATTCAACAAGGTACTCAGAACAACGAGTGTGGAAAACAAAACGCAACTGTTCTACTTGTTTATGACCGGGAGAGCTACAGCTTCATCACATCTTCTCCGAGGTTTGGAATCAAAGGCAAAAGTTTTGAAGAGTAATATAAACATGCTGCGGGACCACAGAGACTGGTCTTTAAATCCATCACTAAGACAGGTGGCCAGGAGAGGCACAGGCTGAATAGTCTCCCGAGCTTGTGGTGGGGAGGTTGAGGAGGATAATTTTCAAGCTCTGTTCCTTGGGATTAGGACAGAGTCTTCTGCCACCAAGCAGCAATGTCAAGGTGAGCCACAGTACCAGATGGAAGAGTTCCTTCCCATCTTGCGATGGGGCAGGAAATGAAAAAGAGGTTGTGAGCATCTGCCATAGAAACTCTTAGAAACACATTAGCAAACAGAAGATGTGAGGGTCACACAAGTAGAATGCCTGGACTGAAAGAATGAATGTAAAATTAGAGTTAAAAGTCCTGAACTGGTTCAGAGAAGAGCACTTTTAGGGGAACAGACACGTATTCACAGGTATGAAGGGAATTCTAGGAATGAGAAGGCATTATTTGGGATAACCTCTACTGTTCCCCAGTAGAAACATGATTTAGAATGAACCAAAAATAATATTCATTAAATGTTGAGTGCTAAGCAGCGGTCTACCAAAATTAAGTCAGGAGACAACAATGTTAGGAGGAACCCAGAAAAGACATTCCCGGACAGCCAAATATAAGCACAGGAGGAACAGGAAATCCAGAAATGAAAAATCAGGAAGTTGTTGATGATTTCCTATCTGTTTCTGCTCATTTAAATTCAGGGCATCCAGCCAAGTGTTGGGAACGATTGCCTTTAATCCTTGTTAAACGAGCTCTGCTGTGGCCTCTGTTGCCCGCATCATGCCAGACAGAAAAGGGGCAGGCCGCCCTTTGGGGTGGAGGTTTCATGGGGTTACACAAGCGTAGACTCCCTCAGGCAACCACTCTTTACATTGCTGCTGCAAAAAGGAAGACTTTTTATGAGCAGATCTGGGAGCTGGTGGCCAGACAACACAGGCTGCTTGGAAGGTCCCAGGGGGGAGCTAGGACAAACATTTGCAGCTTGGACTGTATAGGCAAGCAAGACTCCTGAGCCACACCACGTGGGGGAAGGCCTAATTCACCTCTGCACAATTGTGTGGGCAAACAGTGAGAATTTTCTGAAAATTATAATGAGAACCCAAACTTGCTAATGAAGAAGTCTCTAGGTGGTCTTTTGCCTCCAGCAGAAGGAGAGCTGCTAGAGAGTGGGTCAGGGTGCCATGCTGTCTTGCTTGCCATGGTGGGGCCAACCCTGGGCTTAGGACCACAGGAGGATCTCTTAGGAGATTCCATGAATGATGATTTTGTCATTCTCTGACCCCAACGATGTGACTTTACCCAGCATGTTTTAATGAGTCTGAGGCTGGCATGTGCAACACGGTGATGGAGATTTGGGGTTATGGCTGTGCTTCACCATATAATGTCTACCACTCCCAGATAAACTAGGCACTTCCATCCCCCAGACACCACATCATCTAGGTGGCAACATTTCTCCAGATGTCCCAGTGTTGGACATCCATAACTTGAGCTCCTAGCTTCCCAGAAACACAAAGCTGTGTATCCTTCTTACCCTTCTTGCCCATGTCTGAGAGGGCGGTAGGAACACGTTATGTACAGTAAGGCTTGATGTGTTGTGATGCAATCCACACGAACCCCAGACACTTTCCAGGTTCTCCGCTGGGAAGAGTTTGTATCTGTTGGTTGCATTTTTCATTGGTTCTAAGACATAGGTTTCATTTTCAAACATAATAAGTCCCCTGTTGAAAAAGAAACAAGAAAAAACATGGAATTTTTAAGGACAGCTTGTTTATGGCTAATGCACAGTTCTTAACAAGAGAGAGAATGAAAAGAGAAATACCAATTTATTTATATTCTCAGAGTTTAATGGGAAAGGATGTCTCAGTGCCATATGTTTTCACAAATTCATTTTGCAAATCTTTTGGAAAGTTAGCCTTGGAATTTTCTTTTGTTTGAAATATTTTATGGTAAAGAATACAGTGCATTTTGCTTTTGCATGTTTTTATCTTTTTTTTAATGTTGCAGAAATATATTGCCTGGAAGAAGAAGGAGGAAAAAGATGTTTCAACTGTTTAGAAGATAACTGTATCTGAATTACCAGACATATTTCAGAAGGGAAATGTTTAATTTTTTAAAAAATTTCAAGGCCAGGCGTGGTGGCTCATGCCTGTACTCCCAGCACTTTGGGAGGCCGAGGCAGGTGGATCACGAGGTCAGGAGTTTGAGACCAGCCTGGCCAACATAGTGAAACCCCATTTCTACTAAAAATACAAAAAAAAAAAAATTAGCTGGGTGTGGTGGCAGACACCTGTAATGCCAGCTACTTGGGAGGCTGAGGCAGGAGAATTGCTTGAGTCCAGGAGGCGGAGATTGCAGTGAGCCACAATGGCGCCATTGCACTCCAGCCTGGGAGAGAGTGCAAGACTCAAATAAATAAATAAAATAAAATAAAATTTCGAGAGCCTCAGGGGTACAGCAGATTCTCGTTACACGGATAAACTGTGCAATGGTGAAGTCTAGTGCACCCATCACCCGCGTAGTATACACTGCTCCCCAGAGATAGTCTTTGATTCCTCCCCCAACTCTTGCCCTCCCCCTTCTGCATCTCCAATGTCCATTATATTACTGTGGATGCCTTTGTATACCCATAGCTTACTTTCCACTTAGAAGCGAGAAAATGCCGTTTTTGGTTTTCAATTCCTGAGTTACTTCACTTAGAATAATGGCCCTAGTTCCAACCAAGTTGCTGCAAAGCCATTAGGAAATCTTTTTATAAAAGGACAATTTCTACCTCAATTATTTATCCTTATCAGCCCTATTCCCTAAATAGTTGATGGAATTATAAGAATGAGTATAAATTTATATTTTTTGTATTTACTTAATGTGTGGGAGATGTGTGAACAAAGGAACCCACTTAAGTACACAACACATCAGCACTGTTCCGTTGACGCTGAGGTCTGGGCTCTGGATCCCGTGTTCAGCTCTTTCTGGAATCCAGGAACACCACAGGGATAAGTGCCAGCCCAATGCTGCGAGGGCAGCCTCTGGAGTCTGGCAGTGCTGGGTTTGAGTTCAGGTCTGTTACTTACTAGTTACATGAACTTAACTAAGTTTCTTAGTCTCTATGAGCCCTGGCTTCTTCACCTATAAAATGGGGATAATGGTACCTACTTGTTAGTCAAAACTCTTAGCCCACGGGAAGCCCCAAGTCAGTGCTTGAGGGGTGGTAGCTCTCTTTACTACTAATAAGGGCAGATCCATGAACGAGGCATCTGTTAGCATGTTAATCAAAAGACTGACAATTTCAGGCAAGTCCTAAATTTTGTCAACCCATCTGCTCATAGGAACACTGTTGACTCATGGCTCCCTGATATAAAAGATAACATTAATAAAATAAATACATTTCTGGGAATGACAATAACTAAGAAAGAACCTTTTGAACCAACCTTTAGGTTTGGGAATAAAAGCATAGATTCTTTTTAAAAATGGACACATTTGCTGAAGACTCTAACCTGCAGAGACAGAAGGTGACATTTAGCTATGGACCATGACACATGTCTGACCTTCTGGAGCTCACAGCTAAGGTCACGCCCCACTCCCTGGAATGAGCAATGCTAGCCTTAGACTGCCAGGTTCCTTCAAATGAGGGGGCCTTGGCTTGCAGGTTGGTTTCATTTCTCTCTTTGCTAAGGTGGGGCAGTGAAGTGCTTTAATTTGAAAGGTGCTCCCTGCTGCTGAGAGAAAGGTTTTCTTTGGAGAAATGACAATTTGGGTAACAGCAAACTGGCAGCTCTGAATTCCCATGTGTCTAGTACCTTATGTTATTTAGCAAGGTGACCATGATCTCTCCACTTTAGAAACACACAAAATCTTCAAATAAAATTCATCTCACTGGAAAGGGACCCTTCTAATCCAGTGACTACTAACCTTTCGTGAGATATGAACTTCCTTAGACCCTCCCTAGAACAAGTCACATACACACCTGTAGGGGCTAAGGGAAAAATTTTCCCCTTTGCCCTCTGAAGTTTCACTAAACGTCAACTGACAAAAGGCAGAAATATTATAGGAGAAAAGACAGACAATTTTATTTAACATGTATGGCACAGGTGACTTACAGAAGAATGATTACTCAGTGGGGATACAGATGGTTATATACACCTCTTCCTAGGAGAAAGGGAGATAGAGATGCATGGATAATTTTAGGGGATGAGCAAATGATTTTTAGGGGAATTAATTGGGCTTGAAGAACATACAATGGCCTGGGACCAAGTCCTTTGGGCCCGCAGAGCAGACTACGGTTTATGACAAAAGTCTGTCTGGATGTGTCGACAGGCTTCACTCCTTCTTCCTGTGACGTTAGTTAATGAAAACTCACAGAGGGACTGAGGTGAATGATTTCTTTTTTGGATGGTCTATAGTTTAGGCAGATAAGGGAACTTCAGAGAACAACTTCATCCTGTGCTTTGGGAGAGACAGATGGGGTAAAGGTGGGTGCCAGGGGCCAGAGAGACCTTGAGGGTTTTTCTTTAGCTCAGCATGGAGGGAGCCCCAACATACACAACCACAACATTTTGCTAATTAATACAGACTAATCAATTCCTTATTATTTAACTGGCTTACTCTACCAATCCTGTTTTATAAGTTGTTGTGGGCAATGGGAGAAACAGATATACCACACTCAGGATGCTTGTATCCTAATTGATAAGGCAGCATCAAGGTACCCATGACAATTGGAAATCGTGTGAGAGCTAAGATACACATTCGAACGGTAACAGCTAATGCTTCAGAGAAGGCAGAGTCCAATGCAGTTGGGACTAACTAAAACATTTTTTAATATTTTCAAATCCCAAATTTGTAAAAGTTGTTAGGTAGTCACAAAAATGTTCTCATGTCTCTTTTAAGTCATCCAAAGGCCAAGCTGATGAAAAGTCATGATACGAACTATCGTCTCCTTGATGCTTGTGTCCATGTGTATCACCAAATAGATCATTCAGGGATTACTTTGATGATCAACTCTGTGGGGTGGCTTGTGTTTTCTCTTTCTCTGAAATGTTCTTTATGAAATAAAATGTAGATTTCTAACTTTGGAATATGTAGAAGAGGGTTTTTGCTTATTAAGGTTGGTTTTTAAAAGCCTAAATTAAGGATGTGAACTTTAAAAAATAGGCAAGGGGAGGCGGGGGACGGTGGCTCATGCCTGCAATCCCAGCACTTTGGGAGGCTGAGGTGGGTGGATCACCTGAGGTCAGGAGTTCGAGACCAGCCTGGCCAACATGATGAAACCCCATCTCTACTAAAAATACAAAAAGTAGCCTGGAGTGATGGTGCGCACATGCAGTCCCAGCTACTCAGGAAGCTGAGGTGGGAGAATTGCTTGAACCTGGGAGGCGGAGGGTCCAGTGAGCCAAGATTATGCCACTGCACTCCAGCCTGGGTGACAGGGTAAGAGAGATTCCCTGGGTGACAGGGTGAGAGAGACTCCCTGTTAAAAAGAAAAAAAAATGTCAGGGGAAAATGGAAATGAACACCATCGATTTTGCCCTAAAAAGAAAATGGCAGTAACATTTCATTTTGTATTACAACATTTTCAATTTTACATTGGATCTAAATAAGCTGAACTTTTACTGTAAAATAAGTCACCATGTTCTAACCACGAGAAGTGAATTACTGAAAAAGTTTTTCTACTTAGTGGAAAAATTCTAGCAATTGTTACTTAGATGTAAAACTATTCTCTTATCTTTTTTTATCTTTTAAGTCATCCAAAGGCCAGATGTTGAGAAACCAGGGTGAAGGCCTTCCCTTTTCTGCAAACAATTGGCAGCCTATAATATGCTTAATTAAATAATTGCTTTGGACTGTCTTGGGTATAATTAATCACTTAGCTCTGAAGATTGTTGGAAACAACAGTGGACACAAAATTCAAGCATTCAGGGTTTGCAAGATACAACATTTTGATGTTCTCACAGCCCTATTGGCCCTGAGTTAGATAAGTGAATGTAATTTAAGTTGAATGTCATAGATACTTAGTTGCAAACTTGAAATTGGTTAATCTCAGAGCATGGAATTTAAATCCAGTGGACTTTGCATGTGGGGTTCTTTCTCCCTTGGTAGCCTAGGGGGAAAAGGTGAGAAGAAAGTCTCCAATGTTGGGGAAAGATGAAGACTGTGGACTCCCTCTCTGGAAGGACAGGAGGTCAGCCAGCCATCACCACAGACTCAGGCCAAGTTCTGGGGCAGAGAGAAAGGGGTTCTCAGGGTGGTCAGGGCCACCCCTGTGGCACTCTTCTAGGGTCCAGGTTCTGGGCTGTGCTCCATACGTTGATCCCTCTGCTGACCATGGCTGCAGCTCTCACCATGACCCCACTGTCCAAGGTGCACAGGTGGCAGAGCTGGGGACCCAGTCAGGACCTGTGTGTCCCAGGCTTGGTCCTCTCAACCGCACACTAGCCTGCTTCCCTTTGTGCAGTTTTGAGAGGGATGAGAGTCCGGGAACCAGCAGGAACATGAAAAAAGAGGCTGGGGGTGGTGACTCACACTTGTAATCCAAGCACTTTGGAGGCCAAGGTGGGCGGATCGCCTGAGGTTGGGAGTTCAAGACCAGCCTGACCAACATGGTGAAACCCCATCTT